AAGTGATAAGTGTTATTCCATTTGTTCCGGACAGTCTTAGTTTAAATTATATCTATTTAGGCTTGTTAACTGTGTTAATAATATACTAACGTATTCGATGTCAGTAGGAGCCGTGTGTATAAGAAATTAAACTTGCATCAGACGGGAGCTGCGGAACTGGTGGGGAGGTGTGCGGTGGCAGTTTACGAGTCCTTCACTAATTTATTTGGCTCTTCATTCCTCGTCTTACACTCCGCGAAGCCACTTACATTTTAACCAAATAATATATATTCTCATTTAAAAAATAAACTTTTAGGTAAATGCATAATTAAAAGTATACGAGTCTCAACTAATCTAGATATTTATGTCTTTATAATAAAAAGTATCCTTTTAAAATGCTAGCAGCAATTCAATTGCTATTTAATTATGCCAGGCGTTTTTCGGGATCAATGAACTTTGACATCGTTGATCCGTAAAATACTAGTAATTATTCTAATATTAGTGTTTGAACTGGTAAACAATATTTGTTGGAGCATTAAACAGCTAATTACACCTACGATACTGAACTTTCCATAAGACACAGACAAAAAATAACGAAAAAAAAAAAGTTTTCCAACTAAAAAAATCTGATTATTCTGGATTCAGTACATCAAAACTTTCAACGCAGAAAAAATGTTTTCAATCATAAGAAGGGCAAATACTTTAAAGTACTTAAGTAATAAACAAGTTATGTTGCGTTGTGCAATCTTAGTATCTTTGTACTATGTTGAAAGTTAATCGACTTGGAATGTCGAATCATTATAGTTTCCTTACAAGCAAAGTGTAGACGGTTCAGTGTTAAATCTGATTGCAATTTATTTTCTTTATAACTATAAATTATTTGTTTGTTTTCCCAGCATTTACTGCTAATACTGGTAAGTAATTTCAAAGTGAAAGTGTCTATAAAGTTTTTAAGTAAGTATTCTGTAAACGATTTTTATTATTCAGTTTTATTGAGTGCATTAAATATAAAAAGACTAATATTGAAATGTCCTTCGCTCCATAATTATTAAAATATCCAGCTTAAAACAATCTGGCAGCTTGAACTTGATCTCTGAATTATTATTGATGGGCCAGCGTGGGAGAAATCTAAAGGTAAAATGCTGGGATATCTGATGCGACACGATGGTCTTATAACCACAATAATAGAGGGAAAAATAGATGGAAAAGAACAAAAATAAACGGAACAAGTCAAAGAATAGAATGATGTCGTGTCGTATCTAGAAATTAGGAGAATGGCACAGCAAAGCTAGAGATTGTTCTACGAACCCACCCTTAATTTATATCAGGCTCGAGCCTCTCATTGAGGACGTGTGTGCTAACTTATTAACGTGTTTTCAAGATGGAGCGTTGGTTGAACAAGACGGCAGTGGTGACGGGAGCGAGCGCTGGGATAGGCGCGGCTGTGTGTCTTGGATTGGCCAACGCCGGGTTACAAGTTGTCGGTCTCGCCAGGAGACCAGAACTCGTAGAGGTTAGTTAATGTTGGTCCTTTCTTACTATATTCAATCCGTAAGTTTCACACTATATTCAAAATGCACCAGATATATGACTGTTATTTAACAAGTGTTTTGACAATAAATGTAGGTTACATGACTGTGCAGTTTCCAACGTTGAAATATTTTCTTTTCGAAATTCTTAGTCCAGTCTTATTCAAAGTCCAGTGTCAGAATACTTAACGGGACATAAACTTCGACAGTTAGTAAGGCTAGTGTTGCGCCAGTACACCGGCAGAGTGTCGGATTTTCTTCCTAATAGTACATTTTGAATATTCTTTTCTGTTGCAGAAATTGAAGCAAAATGTAACAGGTAAAGGTGCGATATATTCAAGGAAATGTGACGTCAGTAATATAGTTGATATTAAGGCAGTATTCACATGGGTAGATGAGAAACTGGGTGGTACAGATGTACTTGTCAATAATGCTGGGGTACTATACTACCCTGGATTTATAAGCGGTAAGTTTCTTAAGATAATATGCGCTTATTTAATTTCTTCCATATAATTCTTGAAGGATAAAGAATACAATTTGTATTTAAAAAAATATAAAAAAGATATATATGCCTCGGAATATATTGTTAAACAAAACGTCAAATATAGTCAAAAAATAAAGTTTTATGAACATAGATTATCCAAAACTTCGTTTAATCTTTGACAATTTTACTTTTTATCTTACAATTTTTTTAACTCCTTGCTTTCTTTTTTTTAATAGAAGGGGGCAAACGAGCAACGAATCGCTTAAAATTATTTGATCCGACACCCAAGGACATCCGCAACGCCAGAGGAAACGCAGATGCGTTGCCGGCCTTTAAGGAAGGTGTACGCTCTTTTTCTTAAAGGTCCCTAAGTCGTAACTGTTTGGAAATACCGCTGAGGACAGCGTCTGTGCTTGGTAAAAAGTTACGCGAAAATCTCGTCGTTGTGGAATGCAAGCCATCGAGATGGAAACGCTCTGTCGAATATATAAATGGATTCTTTATTATAATTGTATTTTATTATAGATTCGGGTGAAAAAAAGATAACTGACGAAGAAATATCAGCTACGATAGATATTAATTTCAAAGGTCTAGTAATTTGTACAAAGTACGCCATCGCTTCGATGAACAAACGAAACGTTGATGGTCACATTATCAACATAAATAGGTAAATACAAAATAACTTATTACATTTACATTTTAACTGTAAACAGATTTTAAACCGGGACTTATTTAATTCTTAAATGAAGTTTTTTAGTTGGAGCTCACAATTACGTATGCCAAAATAAAAAAAAAATGCCTATGTCAATCGGTAATTTTTTATATTAAAAAAAAATTAACGATTCTTTTTTGTTTTTAATAACCAATACTCACAATAGTATTACCAGAAGTGCATAAATTACGAGGATATAAGATTGTGTTATGTTGTAGTGTCGCCGGACACTACATCCCTTCAGTAGCAGGGTTCAACGTGTACCCCAGTACGAAGCACGCCGTCACTGCATTCACTTCCAGCCTGCTCGGAGAACTTGCAGATTGCAAACACAAGATCAAAGTCACGGTATTTTTAATCTAATCTATGCAAGAGTGTGATTTTCTGACGTCACTAGGGAAACATGAAATATTAAAAACTTAAATTTAATTAAAAAAAAACTCGACTGATAAAGCTCTATTGGAAACAACGCCATCTATTGACAACATTTAGAAGTAAAAATTTATAATGTTTAATTTTTTACTTCAAATATTGTAAATAAACTGTAATATTGTTTGTAACATTTTCTTATTTTAGAATATACTTCAAAATATACAAACACTGATTTAGCTCTCGCTTCTCGAAACTCGTTTTACACTAATTGCGAATTTTATCTCTTACTGTATTTAATTTTTTTTTTAATTCAACCATAACACAAAATATAACTAGCCGGTTACATTATTCCATAATCTATAGTATTTATAAACTACATCCAAGAATTTCTGCTGTCCTAATACTTGTATTATAACAATAATATTATTTTCTCTGTCTTCTTTAGAGAGACAAGGTGGGATAACAAAATATTTTTACACAACTGGTTTGAAAGTCACCATGAGGAATAAATATATCTATTCTTAACTCTTGAAATTATATGATTCCAGAGTCTTTCCCCTGGTCTGGTGGCAACAGAGATGGTGGGAAAGCACGTACCTGAAGATATACCAATGTTGCAACCCTCAGAAGTGGCTGATGCTTTACTTTACGTGTTATCTACACCACCACATGTCAATGTAAGTAATATTGTTATACTAGCAGTTGCCCGCTACTCCGTCAGCAAGGAATTTAAAAAACTTAATTAGTAGTCTATGTGTTCTTCCAGATTACATCTACATCTATGACAAATTACAGCGAAATCCATGCAGTCGTTCTGCAGATAACTTCTAGCAAACATCAATCCATCCAAACATTCAAATTTATAATATTAGTAAGAAGTAAGATTAGCCTTTTTTTATATTATGGTGGCAAACGAGCGAGCGGACACCTGAAATCGCTGAAATAGCGAAGTGACCGTTGCCCATAGACATACGCAATTGCATATGCGTTGCCTACCTTTAATCAACAGAGGAGAGGATGCACAGAAAGAAAAAATATTTACCCTTTTCATGCATCCTCTCATCCGGAAAGTCCACTTCCCATCCTTTCCTTATAAGAAAAAGTGTGGGAAGAGAAAGAGGACTAAATGTGGTCTCCGGGCCGCACACTCATCAAACGAAACGCGGAATTGCTTCCACTTGACGCCTGTCTTCTGTGTGGTCGTGGGATTTCACCGGGGGAGCTGGGCCAATTCGTGCGAAGATGTTAAAGCGGGCTCTACCACTGTAAAAACCTTATGTTTTATGTAATACATTTATGCCAGCGACTTTATCTTTAATCAGATGTATAACTGGTGGTATTTTTGCAGATAGAAGAGCTGACGATAGGCTCGGTGATGGAAAAGAGACGATGATCATCCATTTTCTCAACCCCATGAAAAGACAATAAATAAAAATATTATAGAAATATCTTCAATTTCTTTTGAATTAGTTTTAATTTAAGATTCTTTGAGTTACAAACGAAACAAAATGCTATAAATATCCATTGTCATATTGACAATGCAATAGGCGGACATTTTACCTTATGAATTATGCAAGCACACGGAGCTACGTGACTATTTGTAACTCATGATACCCTGGTATCACAATGTACCAAAATGTCTGAAATAAAAAAAAAAAGTTTTTTTTCGTTTTGAAAGCGTCGGTGGCTCAATGATTAAAAGCTTATTCTGCAGGAAGACGTATAGTGAGCTGATGATGAATACATTTTTTAATTCTTCATATTTAAATTTCTGTCAACATTTGAAGTACTCAGCAATAAATGTAAAGTACTGAGGAGTTCAATTAGTTAATTAACGGTACAATAGTCAATATTAATGATAGTATGATGAATTTACTAAGCCCTATTTCAACCAATCATTGAATCATGCTCCGAACGCATATCATTTTCGAAATTAAACTCAATTTTCGCTAATTACTTGCATGGATTACAAACATTTTTTTTGTTTTATTCGTAACTTAATAACTCTATCACTTTGTCGATTCTATTAAAAAAAATTGTAAGTAATTATCAAGATTTTATTTTAGTAAAAAAAATAATAATATTTAGTTACGAGTATCTCTACGTATTTTCTTATTTTAGTTTTTATGGATTATCGCCATACATTTATTTATTTGCACATTTATGCCTTATTCAGGTATGTTACATATTCCTCTTAATAATCTTATTAATATTCTTAATAAGACCAACATCTCAAGGAGCTCTCGCTAAACAATTTAATTAAGGGCCCGATACAAAAGGCAGTTATCCTAGAAACTGCGCGCATCGTGAGAAGGTTCCTGTTTCTGCAGCCCCGACCACTGGTAATTTGAGTCATGGGACTCCGCAGCCGGTGGTGTTCTATTTTTAATATAATATATTTTGTATATTTTTTTATTTTTTAAATGAAATGTAATATATTAAGAATAAGGTTAATAAATGAATAAGGGATTCTTAATAATACAACAAATTTACTAAATTAATGGACGTTATCGACTTAGGCGACTTTGGCGATCTCTTGTGTCGCAGGCCAAGACCCACCTTGAGTCGATGCGCCAGCGGAGTAAGTAAGTGTGTAATGTACGTTATCGACAGAAATATATCCTATATATATATATATATATATATATATATATATATATATATATATATATATATATATATATATCTCTAAAATATCAAGTTATTTGATTTCTCGGCATTGTAAAAATCTCTACTAATTGCATATTTTCTCAGTTGACCGATGTCACATGTTTTAGATAGACTTCTTTTAATAGTCACGTGTAGAGACATTAGCAATTTTAATGAAACATACGGTTTAGATGTTTTTTCTAATTTTAATTTGGGACTTTTAAGAAAGACGGAATAGATTTCGCGTAACTTTAATTTAAATAATCTATGTAAATTTATAAAGAAACTAAATTTGCTATTCCTAAAAGAATGCATAAATAGATTGACTTATATTTTATTTATCTTTGACACCCGTTTTATCTACATATTTTTCTAGCATAACTTTAAATAAAACCTAAATTAAGAGAATTTTTAAACTGTGATTTTTATTACTTCAAAATGTTTACTATCTCTGCCATCTAATCCTACATATAACCTAGTAAAATACCTAACTATTCACTAGGACGACATAGATGCATCGTACAGTATTAATTTGCGTTTTACTTTTATTCACATTTTCCCTGATAAAATGTAAAAATAAAAAGGAAGATGACCAGAGGAAAGCTACTACAACCAGCATGCCGAAGACGAAGTACCAGGAGAGCAGAAATGAAATAGATGTCATAAACATTATGAAGGAATGTAATGAATCGTTTCGAATACAAATGTGTAAGTTGATAATATAGAACGAAATTAAAAAAAATCGAATTTCTCTTTTTTAATCATTGATCATAGAAATTATACTATATTTGTTTTATTGTATTACAATATTATTGTACTTTTAGCGTATTTAGAACAACTTAACAACAGTGGAAGCTTTCCAGATGAAACCGACAAAACTCCCAAGGTAATCTAAAATTAGTTACGAATACGTACGCCATTCCTACCCCATAAACCCTCAACTCTAATTTAATATACTTGTACTTGCAACCGTTCGTGTTGTAAATTTCCCCAACACTAAATATCACCTCTTATACCCCGTCCACACCAGGCCAGCTCAGGCTAGTCGGGCTGGCCTGTCCATGATGTTCACATTATGTCAGGACAGTCAGAAACAGATATATGTAGACTGTCTTCTCATTATTTTCTTATTTAACAATCTGACAATGATAACGTTAACTTATTATTACAGTGTTACATTCGTTGCGTGTTGGAATCAAGCGGGGTGGCATCAGAAGAAGGGCAGTTCGATGCTGCATCCGCTGCGGTAGTGTTAACACAACTTAACGACGGCTATGACACTAACGAATTAATTGACATGGCTTTGCAGTGTACAGATAGAGGTAAGTATTAATTTGAGATAAATGTAAATAGGCGCACACTCCTACTACTACAGGTCGATAGAGGAGAGGACGCAAAGGAAGAGGAGTCTTCTGTTCGGTCGACGTATTTCGACGGTCTAGTCAGTCTATTCGTGCACTGAACAAGTATTTTTGAGGGCTCTACCACTGTTAAGGTAGGAGCTACAGTTTTGGTCACCATAACCATCTGTCATTTTATCCCTTGTTATATTTAATCGTTTCTACTCTAGTATCTAAATCACATGATTAAAAAGTTGTATTTTACAGAGGAGACGTGCAAATGTGAAAGATCCTACGAATTCATCAAATGTATAATGGAGAAACAAATAAACAAGATAGAGAATTCCAAATAGCTAATAACGAACCCAACACTGGCCCGAACAAGGATTCGAAACTAAAATGATTATTATTTAAATAAATAGCATTGAAAAGTATGGATATTGCTTTTTTTCCTACCAAAAATGTCAAAACTTTACAACAAAAAATAAATAAAACAATTTACACTCTAGTAAAATTTCAATTTATTAAATTATTTCGCGTAATAAAAATTAAATTATGTGTATTTAAGACTAGTTTATATTCTAAATTGCAGATCTTTGGAACGGAGCACATAGACTTTCTTTATCTACTCAAGTTTCTTGTCATTGCCACCGAAAATATTTTGCCATATTTCTGACAGCCATCCAGATTGTGGTTCCCTAAAGGAATTATAATATTATTAAATTTAAAAAATATTAAAATAACTACTGCAAACTAACCGAAATTTATTTGAAAATACTGTGAGCATATTCAACCGAACGTTGACATAGGGCCCACAATTGTGACGCGATACTTGTAGACCAAGAACCCGTGGACGACAGACATTATCGAAGTTGGGACTTTGTCAGCAGCCTTAATAAAATTATGCACTTTAATCTATCCGTTGAAATCTACTGTCGTGAAACTTACTTCTTCTTCTTTTAACTTCTTTTAGAGATAGGAATACTAATGTGATTTACAAGTGTCACTACAGTTGGACTCCACTATTAAGATTATTATAAGGCTTACTGTTTCTTGCAGTTGTACATAGCGTTGACTTTCCTCACGTCGCCTCGACTTAGACCTTCCCTCTGTCCTAATTTCACTCCTCCAACCTGCATCACAAATAATGCACTTTAATAAACACTGCCTTAAAACTTAAACTATTCTTGTACAAAAAGCGCATCTTTACATATATTTATAAAACCTGCTAAATTACAAGCAACTTAATTAAATTATTTGACTTCTGCTACTGATATTATTAAAGTAAATCCCAGATTGAAAAATTCAAAAATCATTAAATTTTCCTAACTCACAGTCAGTCAGTCAAGTAATGGTTACTTTGTTTAGGTTCATACGTACTGACGGTATGCGTACCTTAAGTTACTATTAAATAACTCTGGGTGGCAGTTACAAATCTACTATACCTTAGGTTCGATGGTTTTCTTTGAGTTTCTGGAGAAAGCGTACTCAGAGTAATGCATAACACTGTTATAATCATAAGGTACGCCGTAGCCGCTAGTATAAGAGGTATCAGACTTCTTGAAATTATTCTCGGAACCTGTAAAACATCACTTTACTTTGGATTTATATAGAACACATCTGATGTTAATAATTCATGTTATCTTGGTCACTAATTCAGCCTCAATCTCCAATATACGCTCCAAAGTCTCGCAAAACTAATAAAGAAGGAAGTAAATTAGCTATCTCTTATCAGAAACAATCTACGTAAGATCTTCTTTGCAATATAAAAATAATTTAAGGTAAAAAACTTTGCATCTCGTAACCATAAGTGGGTGCTAAGAGGTAAATTTAAGACGTCTGAACTTAAAACCGTGCGCAGTGTAGCCTGATTGCCACTTGACTCTTTGAAGTAAAGCTAAAAGAATAAGTGCTACTCTACAACAAGTTGGCTCATTTTAACTATAGCTATAGAGGAGTATTCATTGCTAAATATAAAGTTTAAAGATTCAATGAATGACAAATGATAAATATAAAATGTTTAAAAGATAATTCCTGGTTTATTCCTTGTAGCTAGAAGTTCGTGGATTCGAATCCGTCATTTGTTTATTATCGTGAGTCAAAACGAGCTGAACTTTAGTTACTATTTTAGTAGTGATTATTTGTCATAGACCTACACAGTATGACACCGATCACATATAATCCAAATAGGACTTAAATCGGATAGTTGAAGTTTTATCTTTGTGCAGGTTTTATCTGTTCAAACATTTGTATAAAATTGTATTGTCATATTGTCATTCCTTTCACTCTTTATAAAAAAAACAGTAACATCAACATCCTAACTAACTCCAGAACGGCACTCATAGTCTGAAAGAACACACTACTAAGTTTTTTTTTAATTCCGCGCGGATAGAGTCACGGGCAATAGCTTTTACTACAAGTATGACAAAGGAAGAATATTACGTATCATACTTATTATAAGCTAATATTCTGTACTAGAAATCTATCTTACCTGGTTTAACGTTATTATAATTAATGGTTACGTAATCGTCTCTCTCAGGCCGACTCTGTTCGTGCGTAAAGCCCACAGCATGCAAGATCTCATGCAGCACGGTACCCTTCTTTGACAAACAGCCTGGTGTCTGCAGGTTCACCTCCTGACGACTACCTACACGTTGCATAGAAATCATAAAGACATTATATATGTAGATAAGGACTGAATAGACTAAGCCATGCTTTTATCGACTCGAATATAATTATTTAGGATACACTTATTATTTAGTCCTACTAATATACCACTGAAATGTTACTAACATTGTAAAGGCCTTGTTTAGATGGATGGATGGATGTTTGTTGCAAGGTATTTCCAGTACGATCGAACGGATCTCGATGCAATTTGGAATACATATAGAACATAGTCTAGAATAACACATAGGCTACTAACAGTGGTAGGACCCGCTTTAACATCTTCGCACGAATTTGCCCGGCTTGCCCGGTGAAATGCCACGACCACACAGAAGACAGGCGTCGCCCCGGAAGCCTAATTTAGTCCTCTTTCCCTTCCCACCCTTTTTCTTATAAAGGAATTATCGGAAGTGGAAGTGGACTTTCCGGATGAGAGGATGCATGGGAAAGGAAAAAATATTATCTTTCTGCGCATCCTCTCTTCCGTCGATTAAAGGTAGGCAACGCATATGCAATTGCGTATGTCTATGGGCAACGGTCACTTCTCACGTATATACGTCCGGTGGCGGCACCGACTAATTTCGAGCCCATCGGGGGCCCTTCATCAGGATGAGTGGCACTGGTATTATTTCGCGGACACGGCCCGTCGCTCACTGCGCGCCTGCGCTCTTAGGGCGCGTCTTGAGGGGGCGGGGGGCGCGGGTTGCGCCGGCGTCGTCGACGATGTTGATACCAAAGCGTCGGTGGTGTTGTTGTTGAAGTTTCGAAATAATACCAGTGCCACTCATCCTGATGAAGGGCCCCCGATGGGCTCGAAACTAGTCGGTGCCGCCACCGGACGTATATACGTGAGTGTTTAGCCGTGTTTATATATCAGTTTAGTATAATGTCTCACGAAAGTTTGAATAATTTAACGGTCACTTCGCTAAAAAACTAATTGCGTTTGTATTTAATTCCCCGCAGACGAAGTTACGGACGACAGTTAATCATTCATAGATCTTAAACCTTTCTCTGTAATATATTCAAATATATTGCTTTTAGGGTTTTTTTAAAATATCTGTCTGTGAATGTTACTTTTGTTAGCAAATACCTTGATCATTGTATAGGCGTTTGTAGTCTTTTTTCAAGTCTCGTCAAAAAATCTGTTAAAATCTCATTAAACTATGTTATCGATAGTAGCGTTACTTAGTCATATATTTAGTAACTAGATATCGTAATTACCTATTCTTCCTACGCTGGACCAACAACCTGTGTTTGCGCTTGTTATAGAGATGTAATCTGTCTGTCCGTTGTATGGCACGAATCTCAGACATGTCAAACGGTGGTAATCTGCGATTGCCTTCATGATAGTATCCCTTTGCTCCTGGTCTGTAAAATTATCAGACTTTTTACATAATTAATATAATACCAGTCTTTCCCAAAGTGGGCGATGGGCACAGTGTGGGCGGGTCTCAAGTTGCGGGTTATAGTAAAAGTTTCGTTTAGAATTCTCTGTTAATATACATATATAGGTCACAATAATGAATAATTTAATTTGAAGTTATAGTGGTTTTTAAATATGTGAAAATATGGGGGCGCTAAAAAAATATTTATTCTCAAAGTGGGCAGTATACAAAATAAGTTTGGTGATAGACTATATGTGTACCATATTTTATTTAAATCGGTTCCGTAGTTTTTGCGTGAAAGAAGGATAGACAGACAAAGTTACTTTCGCATATATATTAAGTAAGGAAGGTGCTTAAAATATTAAGAGAGGTTATGTCTTTTTAGCCAACTTCAAAAAGAAGGAGGTTATCAATTTGTCTATATGTCCTTTTTTATGTGTGTTACCGCGTAACTCCGCCCCTGGTACTCAGATTTTTAATTTTCTTTTTAATCGAAAGGTTTTGCTGGTGGGTCCCATTTTTTTATTAATTTTTAAACTGACTAGAAGTTTATTTAAGCTGTAGATGTCCCCCTACACTAATGTACTAAAAAGGCCGCGACTAGGGAGGAGTGGCGGCGCTTAGTAAAGCGTGTCTCTGATACTTGATGACCACGACCAGTCTGAAAAGACTGTAACGACGAAGAAGAAGTTTAATAGATTTTGAGTTTAAGTTGGAAAATACGTTACGAAAATTAGGAATTGTAGCTCTTTAAATTTATGGAAATACATCTTTTATGTTTGTCTAAATTGTGTTGCGCAAAATAATAAAACTTACATACATACATATTATATATAGATTTGTTTATCACTCTCTAGCTGCCTTATTTTAAACGCAATATACTAATAATAGGATGAATTATTCATTTTGATGTTATCAGTCATATCTCAATGTTTTGAACCGCACTAAAAATAATCATCGTTTCAATATCATGACTCATTTAGACTACAACAATAAAAGACATAAATCTTTTTTTTAAATATGCAGTTACTTACTGAAATGTCCATCTATAGAATAAGGTATGATGCCGTTTGGCCAACGCGAGGTCTTGTCCTTCATGCCGTTGCGGGCGTGGTGCACCGGCATCAGGATATCGCCCTGCCCATAGCCGCCCATCTCCTCAGGGTTCATTAGCGATGATTCAGACCAAGTTGATAGAGCATCTCCTTAAATATAAAAGTTGTTTAAAATAAATTTTAACTTCGAAAAACTTTTGCTTAGCGACTGAAATTTATATAAAAAAGACTGAATTTTAATATAGTAGGCATTCAAGAAAATGTAGTAATTCTTACTTTCTC